GATCAATCAATAGGTAATTTAATCATAACTAATTAAGCTTTATTATGGTGGTGGTCCCTCAATCTAGCCACGCCAATCGTTAAATTCAATGTCTGCTATTGATTGAGGAGAGGGATGCAAGTGCTACTAATTATCTTAACATGATCAGATGATTATATATCATGGAAAGCTACTAAGCTAGCATGTTAAGATGATTAATTATCTTGTTGAGTACCAGCTAGATTTAGCGATAGTTTAGATTTTAGAGAAATGGAAGAAGGCATGACTTGCTTGCTTTTTCTTGGGTTAGCTATTAGCTAGAGAGAGCATTTCCAGTTGTTCTTTCTTTGTTACAATTCTTTAAGTTTAATTAACATAAAAGCATATATACTTTTTGCTACTTTTTGTTATAGAAAATCTTCATATTTGTGATTCACTGATTGCTTGAACAATTTTTTTGTCTTGTAAAAAATATAAAACCTTTTGATTTTCCTAACTTATGGGACCATCCACATTTTAATGAAAGTTATATTCTTTCTTGGTTCATGGTTTTAGAGTAATCAACTTTAATTATTTATGTATTAATAATAAGCATGCCGAATCTACATGCTTCCATGTGTCCACATGTGAATGATCTGAATAACAGCTTGGAATTAATTAGAATTTGCACATTTTTTTGGGTATCGAATTGGGATGGAATCTGTAACTTGGCAAGCTTTGATTGGCCACGCATGGGACCGGCATGATCGTTCATCCAAGGTGGCAGCCACATATGCAATTATGAGAATTGGCATTGCTTAATCTAGTTGAAGAGTTTCTCCATTACAAATGAAGTATGAACTCTAGCTTATTAGGTTAAAGTTAAGTTGTGATATGCATCAATGAATTTAGCACCTTTGCATATCTATCTTCATTCAAAGTCCATTAGTCAAACCCACACCTTTGTTTCAACTTTCAAGTAACAAAGGGCTTAAAAAGTTAACACCCATACAAACTAAACTGAATTACAGAGAAAATTGCAGTATTAGTAGCTAGCTACTAAAGAAATTTCACATGCTAATAGTACTACATATGAAACCTGGGAAAAGAGAGAGAGAGAGAGAGGCAGTGGTAGTGGTAGTGGTGGTGGAAAGTGGGGACTGAAGAAGAAGGGTTATTACTGGTGTAGAAATTTAGAATTACAAGACACATTGGTATGAGGAATTTGAATAAATGAGACTGGTTGAAGGTTGGACTGTTGTAGAGAAAGTTAGATGAAAACTTGAAAAGAGATAAGAAGATGATGAGTGCTTTTATCTTTCTGCTCAATACATAATATTAAAATATTGTCCAATACAGTGGAAGAACCAATAACAGCAAAAACCACATTTATACTATGCGTGATGCATCAACTCTTTTACAGAGCTAGCTTCTATATAAAGCTTTCACACACTTTACCTTCTTCACACATCAATCAATCAATCAAACTCATTAGGATGTTATGCAAATTTCTAATGAAACAGTTATCTTAACTCCTGAGAATAGTGTGTGCTAGTTTGTGACAGTAACAAAACTGTGAAGAAGGGGACTTTGGAGTTCATGACATGCATGGTAATTGGTAAGCTAGCTAACTGGAGGTAATTACTTATGTTTCTCTAACTGTTTTGGGTTTCAAGGAAGGTGACAGAAGAGAGTGAGCACACATGGTTCCTTCTTTCATGAAGTCCATGCTTGAAGCTCTGTGTGCTCACCCTCTATCTGTCACCCACCACCAACTCTCTCTCTCTCCCCCTCTCTCTCTCTCTCTCTCTCCCTCTCCA